CGCGGGTGGGTGGGATGCATGGAAAGGAGCCGGCAGGGAAATGACCCCACCACATGCCACCCAGCACGGCCCCAAACACGGCCCCCTCCAGAACCCAGCCCCGGCCGGGGGTGTCGTTTCTCCGGATGTTTTCCGGTTGCGGTCACGCCGGCGCCCGCTGTGCTTTCATACTGCCAAGAGCGTACAGAGCTTGTTCCCTCCTCACCCCAACAGCAGGAACACGCCAATAACATACAATGCTTTAATTAATCTTTTTTTTTTTTTTTTGAGTGAAAAGACCTAATTTTCCTCTCCTGATCACAATGCAAACCCGCAGTCTCCGAGTAGCATGATTCAACGGTCAGTGTTAACTGTTAGTGTTACTGTAAAATCCTCTTTGGTTATCGGGAATTTTATTCGAAGCGAGATTCTACAACACGATTCCCAGCTAGAAATACTCCCCTGAAATCTAAAAGCAAATCTAAATCAACACACTCCCGCAGGCTGAAGCTCTATCGATAGGACTTATAAATTTGAGTATTTCCCCAGGTGATCTAAACAAAGTTATCAAAATTATATTAAGTAAATACATTTCGAGGAATAGTAAACTTTTGCAAAATCCTTAGAATATTAAAAGTAGAGTTCTGGAAGTAGCAGTAGTGGGCTAGAGGAAAAAAAAAAATAAAAATAACCAAGACAGAGACTTCTCTTTAAATACTCTCCATCGCCTTGAATTCACTGAGAGCCTGCACCGGGTTAACGTGCTTCTTCTGCGACGCCCGCTTGATTTTAGTTTGGGTTTCGTCTTGCTTCTCCCTCTTGACCAGGGGTTTCTTCTCCGGAGCCTTCATCTTCCAGGAGACGGCGGGCAGGTTGAGCGAAGCCATGCCCTGGGACTTCTGGTACTTGGTCGAGGCCACGTAGGACGCCTTCACGGTCTGCACCACCGCGTTCATCAGGTTTTTGGCTGCTTGGATAAGGGACATGGCGCTGTCCACCTGCCAACGGGAGCACAGCGGCGTTACACTCCGTAAAACCCACACCCATGCAGTATCCCAGAAAACACCATGGTCTTGGGGTGTAAAAGCACCCCAAAACTGATTTTTCTAGGGTTTTTTTTGTTAAATTTGAGGTTCCAAATTCAAGGTGTTATTTTTCTTGGGACACTAAGTGGGAAAAACCTGATTTGTGCCACTAAAAAAAAAAATAAAAAGCACAATGTTTACCCCTGATCTGAGCCTCTTCCATATTAATGGCCATGGAAGAGATTTGTATGCTGCTGTTTGCTTTTGTGACTAAGCTTTAACAGTGGCTTATTCTCTAATGAAATTAATAAAGCTCTAGTAATATCTTAATCACTGATAATAAATATTTAAATCAGCCCAGAATATTAAGTTGTACGGGAAAGGAACACAACTGGATCTTCAGCCAGGCCCGGAGCCCCTTCCCAGGTGGTTCCTGATTTTCAAGAGCATTAAAGTGAGCAAAAAAAAAAAAAGCATTTGCCAAAGCTTTAGTGCACGGCAGAGATGAGGAGCCAAAACTGGGGCAGGGTGGAAGAGAGGGGGGAGGACGACCGAGGGGACCTCAGCTGGGACCCCACTCCTCCAGGTGCCAGTGCCCTGCTCTGGCTGGTGAACACCAAACGCTCTGGGCAGGGCTTCAGCACCTCTGCTGAGCTTACACAAGAGCTACGTGCTTGAATTCCAGCACTGGAGACATCTAAGGAAGGTTTTGGGAAAAACCTTGAAGCTGTTGCTCATCTAGCAGCCCAATCAATCCAGGAGGTTGGCCGCTTTGCCTTCCCTTCCTCACGCTGCGTTTCAAGGGCCACAACGGCAGAGCTGATCTGTGCCCTCCGGCAAACCCGCGGCACCCGCTTTCCTCGCCCCAGCCACCACGCTGGAAACGCTTTCGTTGCCTTTGCCTGTCTCCACGAATCTTGCCAGCAGGAAGAACATAAAAGGCAATGAAAGCAAGGAGGTGCTTTCCTAAATGAATTGTCAGATCGCTCAGGGTGCAAGCTCTTACTGCTGTCGTTACAGCTCTGCTTTCCCCAAATTTCTGTGGTAGATGGATGGGGGAGGATGCTAACGCTGAAGAGAACGTTACTTTTAGACAGGTGAAGTCCCTGGACTGGCAGAAGGCTCCATCTGATAATCTGACAGAAGCTTAACACTGCTACTGGCAATATTCAGTCCCATTGGACGGACTGGTGGAGAACAGATAGAACCAGGAGATGAGCCTGCAGATGCCAGCCTGTCCCCGTCCCTGATTCATGGCAGAAGGGTGAGTAAATTCGGAATAACTGCAGGAAAACCCTGGAGTACGTATTATTGCATAATGACACATCTACTTCTTTGGCAGCACAGTGCCTTTGGCCTCCCAGCGAACAGGCCCTCGCACGCCGCCGGGACGCACAGCGACGTTTCACCACGTCTCATCGCTCGGCTCCGCCGGGCTGGGAACCGGAGCGCGCGGGACCGGCGGCGGGGGGGGGGGGGCGCGA